TTGACATTTGAGTCAATATCTGAATACAAACAGCAATTCGAAATCTTTAGGTTGTGTGTTTTATATTTACTTTGAGATATTGGGTTAAATCATCTTTTTTTACATTATTTAAATTGTTTTCAGACTGTTGTCCTTATCTTTATTGTCTAACATTCAGACAATACAGTTGCTTTTTGACCAGGTATTTGTTGTGTGATCATCTGACCAAGGGGTTGCACTTGGACCCAGGAGGAGCGACTACAGGTGATATTTGTTTGTGACAATAAAGATGAGGACAAATTTTAAAAACCAAATCTCAGAATAGTCAATCTTATATGAATGAATATATGATTTTGGATTATTTTTTTTATTTCTGAAGATTGGTTAGATAATGTTAGGATAATTTAAAATAATAGATGTTCTCCCATTTTGATTATAAAAGACACTTGTATCATTGACATTTGAGTCAATATCTGAATTCAGTTTTATCGCCTTTGAGATATATTTAGACAAATTGTTCAGACTGTTGTCCTTAACTTTAGTGTCATTCACAATGTTTTTGGTTGTTTGACCTACTTCAATATTTGTTAGTCATTCTGATTGTCCCATTTTTATTCCTGAAATATCGAATTTCATTAACTGGCTTATTCAATCGACATATTATAAGAAGCACACATGGACCATCCTTCAATTATAGTCGGGGGCTGAAGGTAACATTAATCAGTTAAGTGGCAAACTGTTTATATATATATATATATATATATATATATATATATATATATATATATATATAATAGCAGTGATATATTTATATTTTCTTTGTTTTTTAAATATATTTTGTTTTTCTTTTTTTTTAAATATATTTTGTTTTTTTTTTGAAATTTCGGCCATATTTCTGGCCGAGCACCCGAGTAAAGAAGATGAAGAGAGAAGGGAGAGAAAGAGGGTGATATATAAAAGGGGAGGAGAGAAATGGAAAACTGAAGATAGGGAAAGAAAAAGAGAGGCGAAAAGAAAGAGATAGAAAAGAAGGAAGAGGAGAAAGAGAAAGGAGGGGAGAGGAGAAAGAAAGAGGAGAAGGAGAGAAAGAGAGGGGGAAAGTAAGCGATAAAGACAGAGAGTGATATACAGCAAAAGAGGCGAGGAAGAAGAGAAAGAAGAAAGATATGGCGAGAGAAAAAGTTAGAAAATGTAATGAAATAAATATATATATATATATATATATATATATATATTGTGTATATTTAGGCAGCAATTGTTTATTGATGCATGTTTCATTAAATAATATAGACAAGTTTTGTCTATTTATATCAGACAATATGAAAGGAACTTACTTAAAATAAATTAACTTGTCCATATTATTTAATGAAACATGCACCAATGAATATATATATATATATATATATATATATATATATATATATATATATATGATTCCAAAAATAATTTATATATAATATATTTATATTATTTATATATAATATATATATGATTCCAAAAATAATTTCTGCTTGAAGATGGAACAGAGCTTATTTTAACTCAATTTAATTTAAATAATTTAAATAATTATATTGAAGTTTTCGGCTCTTGTTTTGAAACATGGGACTTCTTATGTCGCGATTTGGAATCATATTTTTAAATAAATTTTATATATATAATATATATATATATATATATATATATATATATATATATATATATATATATATATATATATGTATGTATGTATAAGACTTAAGAATTGGACCAGACTAGCCAGCCATGTGTGGATATTAAAAGTAAAATAACAAAGATACGATTGTAAACTGGGAAATATTAAAAAAGCCAAACCTTACAACAATCGTAGTAATATTTGCAATCTTTGCCAGAAAGAAAAGTTAACAATAGTAACATTTCCAGACCAGAAAAACCTGAATGAGAGATCAGAAATAATGACACGATGCATACACATTAAAAAGTTCCTTTTGAGTTCGTACGAACAAGCTTGTACATTTCATATAACACCCACTCCGATACAATTTCAATACCCTTGCTTTTTTCCTCCCCTTCGATTACAATTAACGTCGTGCGTTTATTTATTTTTAAATAATAAATCGTTAGGAAATTATTTAGCCCAAATCGCCTGAAGATACCGAAAGGTTGAAACCAAGGTAGCGTGATCGGCTGATCTCCTAATTGTTAAAATTTAAATTAAATGTTGAATATTAATTTTATTTTCTTTATACGTGTATTCAACACTTTTTTTAACAGTACTGTTTCCTGGTTTAATTCAACTCTGACCAATAGCTTTATATATATATATATATATATATATATATATATATATATATATATATATATATATATATATGTGTGTGTGTGTGTTTTGTGTGTTTATGTATGTATATATATATGTGTGTGTAGGCAGAAAGAAGCATTCGAATCCATAATTATTTTCAATCAATAGCCCCTAGAATAATTCGAAACACATCCATTGCTGACCAGGAAAACAACCGTTAAAATATACAATAAACTACCCACATCACTGACATATATAAATAGTAGGGGAAAAGCACACCGCACATGGCGTGGCGTTTTCGTTTAGCCTGAAACAGACTGTCGCGTCTGGGTGTTGATTTCAGTGTCACTTTTATATTTACATACGCTCTATCTCTGATATTGAGCACTTTATACTTTAACCCATAAATATAGTATACGTTAAAACTATATGTTATCATTCATTATATATATATATATATATATATATATATATATATATATATATATATATATATATATATATATATATATATATATTACCTTTTCTCAAAATATGGATTTTGTAAAGTATATATATATGTAAATAAATATATATATGTGTGTGTGTCCACTTTTATATTTACATACGCTCTATCCCTGATATTAAATACTTTAACCCATAAATATAGTATACCTTAAAATTATATCAGGTCATCCCATAAGTTCTGTCCGAAT